TATGCTGTCTGTCTGTGCTGTGTATGTGTGTATGTGTGTCTGTGTGTGTGTCTGTGTGTCTGTCTGTCTGTCTGTCTGTCTGTGTCTGTCTGTGTCTGTCTGTGTGTGTGTGTGTGTGTGTGTGTGTGTGTGTGGTCTAGCATTACTATACTTGTGGGGACCTACATCTGTTTACATAGTCACGTGTGGGGACTGGCTTCCCTTATGGGGATAAATTGGAGGTCCCCATGAGGGGAATCATTAATTTTAGGGTGAACACTTGGTTAGGGTTAGGTTTAGGGTTAGGCATGTGTTGGTTATGGTTAAGGTTAGGATAAGTCTCCAGGAAATGCATGTAAGTCAATGTAATGTCCCTGAATTGATGTATAATGGTATGTGTGTGTGTGTGTGTGTGTGTGTGTGTGGTGGTGTGTGTGTGTGTGTGTGTGTGTGTGTGTCTATCTGTCTCACCTCCTCGTGCTGTAGGACCTGCTGCTGCTTGGCGTTGGCGATGATGCCTTCCAGTCGTGGAAACGTTTCTCCATGGTTGTCAGCCGGAGCACTCGACGCCATGCTGCTCCTTCCTGATTCGCTCCAGCTGACCTCCGGCCCCTACTCCTCGGCGATGCAGGGACCTCTGCTGCCACTGCTGGATCCTCTGAGGCAGGATCTCATACAGACGACTGGCAGAGGGAAAGCAACGAAGAAACAGTCATTCTTCACAGGCTAAGGGGCGGGACATCTCTAAGAGGTTGACCAATCACACAGAGCCGGCCAGCTAACCAATCAGAGAGCTGGGCTCTGGTTTCAGACAGAGGGTGAAAGAGGTGCTGCAGCACAGGCAGTGTGAGAACAATAAAGAGCTTTGTGAACATTAAAGATCAGAGGAAGCTTTATTAATCCCTGTGGGGAAAGTCAGTATGAACAGCAAGAGGGTAAGGATGAAAAACAGGATCACAGATTAGAGATTAATCAAATGAAAGATACAAATTAAATTATATACAGTTAAGTAACTTTAGAATAAGAAATGAATTAAATTAAAATGAACATATATACAGATTTGGGTCCTATATACATATTAGATATATTTACATGTATGTGTGAAAACAGTGTGTGCAGTACGTGTGTCACATTGTTGACCCTTGCCTGATGGCTCCAGGCACAAAGGATGAAAGCATGGAGAGAGACGCATAAATATGAACCTGGAAATGAGCAGAATGTTTCCTCTTGTTGTCGATGATGTTGATGATTTTGGTGTAGTGTGCATTAAATGCGTGACTCACTTGGCGGCCAGCTTCATGCCGCAGTCGTCGGTGCAGTATTTGGAGTTGGCCCTCGCTGCTTGGACACATCCTGGTCCCAGACACTGACGCAAGGCCCCGCCCACTTCCTTAGCCCCGCCCTCTCCTCCTCGCTCGCTGTGACGCACTCGCTCCTTGTGGCGCTGCTTCGCTTTGTGACGGCGAGGCTTCACCTCCTCTTTGGGAGCGGAGACAGTTTTCTACAGCAGAGGATAGGAAAACAACAGCTTTTTATTTCACTATATGTTGGGAAAATACTGAATGTCCTCTTCCAACATGAGAGTAACTTGAGAACAAAGGTATCCCAACTGTAGCTGTGAACATGACAGGATGTGTGATTACCTAGAAGAGCATCAGGACTGTTTGAGGCATATGATAGCTATGTGATGAACATGATGATTCAGCCTCTATGGAGAGAGACATCAAGCATGCTCATTTCTGACGTGGAGCTAATCTGAAGTAAACATTGAATACTGCTTTCTATTCCTCCATCTTGTGACTGTGTAACTCCCTCTCTTGGATATCAGCATGTGAAGGACACTGTTCAGGAACTAGTTGATGCTCTGTATGTGATGACTACTTCCATTCTGGAGAGGATCACAGATACATGGATCCTGAGATTGAAGATCAAGCCGGTGACGAGTACATGTACATTCTACTTTTAGCTCATACTGTTCTGTTTCACTTGAATATAGTTAACTTCTCCTGCATTACCTGTAAAATAGTCTTGCAACAATCTCTTGCACTATTTTATTTATACTGTTTCAATATATTCAACATATAAAGATTTCATTATTGATATGTATATATATTCACTGTTCTGCGTATTAAGTCTTCTACTGCTGATATATATATCTTTATTGTGTTTTATGTATGTATTGTTGGAGGAGCCTGTGAATTAAGCTTGTCATTGCATGGATGTGGATGTGACGATAAAGCCCTTTAAATACTTTGAATCCAACAGTGGGCTATTTTAAACCATATTTCTGCAGCAAGAGGAAAACAATTCAATGTGGGAAAATGTATTCTATGTTGTATTGCCGTCCCCACCTTCTTCTCCACCTTCTTCTCCACCTTCTTCTCCACCTTTTTCTCCACCTTCTTCTCCACCTTCTTCTCCACCTTCTTCTCCGGCTTCTTCTCCTGTCTCTTCACGTGTTTCACCTTCACCGCCTTCTTCCTCAGAGACTCCGACTGCTCCTCCTCCTCATCCTCGCTGTGCCACATCTGCAACAGGAAGAAGCGTCAAACCACAGGAAGTGTTCTGGCAGCTGATTGGTCAGAAACGCTCAGTCTCACATACTCACCAGGTCTCTGTATCCGGCAGCTTTGTACTGCTCGTAAAGCTCCAGCTCGCTCTCACTGAAGGCCACGTCATCATCATCGTCGTCATCCTCCTCGTCATCCTCCTCCTCCTCTGTATAATGCCCCGCCCCTTTCCTCGTTAGGCACCGCCCCCTGCTGCTCCGTTTCATCTCCTCGTCTTTGACTCGAAGCATCTTCTGCTCAAAGACAACATTATAGGAATGAATATATCTTTTAAAGGTCACCTATTATGAAAAATCCACTTGTTCATGTCTCTTCTACATCAACATGTGTCCCCTCTTCTTCATGTCTCTTCTACATCAACATGTGTCCCCTCTTCTCCATGTCTCTTCTACATCAACATGTGTCCCCTCTTCTTCATGTCTCTTCTACATTAACATGTGTCCCCTCTTCTCCATGTCTCTTCTACATCAACATGTGTCCCCTCTTCTCCATGTCTCTTCTACATCAACATGTGTCCCCTCTTCTCCATGTCTCTTCTACATCAACAGGTGTCCCCTCTTCTCCATGTCTCTTCTATATCAACATGTGTCCTCTCTTCTCCATGTCTCTTCTACATCAACAGGTGTCCCCTCTTCTCCATGTCTCTTCTATATCAACATGTGTCCCCTCTTCTCCATGTCTCTTCTCCATCAACATGTGTCCCCTCTTCTCCATGTCTCTTCTATATCAACAGGTGTCCCCTCTTCTTCATGTCTCTTCTACATCAACATGTGTCCCCTCTTCTTCATGTCTCTTCTACATCACCATGTGTCCCCTCTTCTTCATGTCTCTTCTACATCAACATGTGTCCCCTCTGTGGAAAGAGACTCTGAAAGTTACAGGAACAAAGATTCTCTCTCTTTTTGTCCTGATCCATTTCTATAAAAACCTGTCTGAAAATGAGCTGATCGGATTTTGGCCACTTTGTGATGTCATAACGATGTTTTGTCTTGTGTAACCATTAGCCAATCAGCAACCAAGGTATTTATTGGGTACACTCAAAAAATCAGAATCAGAATACTTTTTATTTATTTTAATTTAGTTTTTTTTAACAGATGCTTTATTTGAGAATGGAGAATATGTAATAGTTTATAGAAAAATATTCTATAAACATAAGAAATTAAAGTAAAATGAAATATAATGTAAACATTGTCCGAAGTGTAAATAATTGTTGGGAAAATACTGAATGTACTCTTCCAATATGAGAGTACACATGATAACAAAGGTATCCCAACTGTAGCTGTGTACATGACAGGATGTATGATTACCTAGAAGACAGCGTTTCCGCCAGGGGGGCGTCTTGCCGTCATTTGATTGGAAAGATCGAAAATACTAAAGACGCATTTTGCACGCTTTTTGCATATTAGAAACGGAGTTGGCAACACTAAAACTAAAATATAATGTTTGTGTAGCAATAATACATATATTTTTTACATGTCTCCAGTACCGATAAAAATACCGTTAACGTTGGAGCTTAACGGTACCACGGTCTTTAATAATTCAGCACCGGGGCCCGTTTAATACCGGGGCTCGGTACCCATCCCTACATCCCTCTGTTGGAGGGGCAAAGGAGTCTGGTGGGATTATTTTCGGAGTATTGAAGATCAATTCCCCGACATAAATATTATGAATATGTCTTTATTATCAGGCTATGTTCCACAATCATTCAAAGTAGCAGTGATAAAACCGCTTCTTAAAAAGCACAACCTCGATCCAGAGGTTTTAGCCAACTATAGACCTATTTCTAATCTTCCGTTCCTCTCAAAAATTCTTGAGAAAGCAGTCGCAAAACCGTTGTGTGATTACTTAAAAAACAATGATTTATTTGAAGATTTTCAGTCTGGCTTTAGAACACATCATAGCACAGAGACAGCTCTGGTTAAAGTCACAAATGACATTCTAATAGCCTCTTACAAGGGACGTGTCTCTATTCTTGTTTTGCTCGATCTCAGTGCTGCATTTGATACTATCGACCATGATATCTTATTGCAAAGACTAGAGCACTTAGTTGGCATACAGGGAACTGCTTTAGGCTGGTTTAGGTCCTATCTATCTGAACGCTCTCAGTTTGTATGTGTCAACGATGAATCTTCCAAGCCAAAGTCAAAGTTAGCCATGGAGTGCCACAGGGCTCAGTGCTCGGACCTATTTTGTTCACATTATATATGCTTCCGTTAGGCAATATTATAAGGAATCATTCTGTAAACTTTCATTGTTATGCGGATGATACTCAACTATATTTATCAATCAAGCCTGATGAAATTAATCATCTAAATAAAATTCAAGACTGCCTTAAGGACTTAAAAACATGGATGACCTTACATTTTTTGATGTTAAACATGACCAAAGCGTTATTGTACTTGGCCCGAAGAATCTACGAAACAAATTATCTAAAGATATACTAACTATGGATGGCATTAATTTGGCCTCCAGTGAGACTGTAAGGAATCTTGGTGTTATATTTGATCAGGATTTATCCTTTAACGCCCACATCAAATCAATTTCAAGGACCGCCTACTTCCATCTACGTAACATTGCAAAAATCAGGCATATCTTGCCTCAAAACGATGCAGAGAAACTAGTCCATGCATTTTTTACTTCAAGGCTGGATTATTGTAACTCCTTATTATCAGGGTGTACCAAGAAGTCAGTCAAGTCGCTTCAGCTGATTCAAAATGCTGCAGCTCGTGTACTAACCAGAGTTAGGAAAAGGGACCACATTACTCCTGTTCTGGCTGCCTTACACTGGCTCCCTATAGAACACAGGATATAATTTAAAATTCTTCTTCTCGCCTACAAAGCCCTTAATGGGTAGGCGCCATCTTACCTTAAAGAACTCATTATACCCTACTGTCCTACTAGGGCATTGCGTTCCAAGAATGCAGGGTTGTTGGTTGTTCCTAGAGTCTCTAAAAGTACAATGGGAGCCAGAGCCTTTTCTTATCAAGCTCCACATTTGCGGAATCAGCTTCCAGTTTGTGTTCGGGCGGCAGACACCCTATCCGTTTTTAAGAGTGCGCTTTAAGACCTTCCTTTTTGATAAAGCTTATAGTTAGGGCTGATTAGATTCAGCCCCTAGTTTTGCTGATATGCTTAGTTTGTCGGGGGACATCTTACTTCTTCCTTCTCTCTGTCTCTACCTGTGTACTCTCATGTTCCGATTAACCCAGCTTCCCCAAATGTCTTTCTTTTTGGTGTCTATATACGCCGGGATCCGGAGTCATGGATGACCCTGCGGTCCTGTGTCCTGGATCGCGAGCCCTGGATCTTGAGTCGTGGCTGTGGTCCTGGATCATAGGTCCTAGATGGATATCCTCGTGGATTCATCTTCCTATTATACACACATGCATTTCCAAACATTTGGACTACTACATTTTATTACTATGTTGTAAATGTATTATCTTTTCAATTTACACACGGCATCTATTGCACGTCTGTCCGTCCTGGGAGAGGGATCCCTCCTCTGTTGCTCTCCCCTGAGGTTTCTCCCATTTTTCCCTTTAAACTGTGGGTTTTCTCCGGAAGTTTTTCCTTGTACGATGTGAGGGTCTAAGGACAGAGGGTGTCGTATTGTCATACTGATATTCTGTACACACTGTGAAGACCACTGAGACAAATGTAACATTTGTGATATTGGGCTATATAAATAAACATTGATTGATTGATTGATTGATTGAGGTGCCTGCTACAGGACAACACGGAACGTGCGCGATTTGGACGCGATTAGTGGGGGGGTTTTAGTGGAGTACGCGCATGAGCTGCGAGGACCACTGCTAGAAGAGCATCAGGAATGGGGCGAAGCCTGCGAGCTAGTTCAGGCAGTCAACTCGAGCACTTATGCTGCATTCATACATAATGCCCCTTGCCACTCTACAACCAACCAAACAGAGTCTCCTTAAAGGGGACCTATCATGCAAAATGCACTTTTGTACGTATTTTATACATGAATGTGTCCCCGGTGTGTCAGGGAACTCACCAAGTGTCAGAAAACACAACCCTCTCTCTTTCCCTCCATACCCAAAATCTCTAAAAACGGGGCTTTAACGGATCTGATACAGACTGATACAGATTTGAAAATAGTCTGACGTCAGTGACGAGGAGCTCCGCCTATATGGCCAACTCTCCACCAATCAGGGGAATGAGAGGTTGCCGTGGCATGGTAACAGCATGGTAACATGACACTGCCAGATCTCTCTCCATGCATTGCTTGCTGCTGCTATTGCTGCAGCTACCTCTACGTCGCTGCTGCTTGCCTGCTGGTGTTCCGGATGAACTGGTTTCCCGATCAACTGGGGTGATTTTCGATCGCTTCTTCTGTCGTTTACATACATCTTTTGGTATATTTGGCTCGGTAGGAAGACTTTGATGCACATTCAGTACCAGTGTGTGAGGTTGTGGTTACGATGGAGATATCCGGACGCAAACAGCGGGGACTACAGAAAGAAAAACGAGTTGACTGGGGATGTCTGTTCAAAACATTGCGAGCTCCAATAAATCATTTAAACCAGCTATTGTTGCCAGACTTATTACTGAATATCGTTCTTAATGTGATACCAAGTCCATCTGAGACCTGTGTACACCTTCAGCCAGCCTCCAAGTGAAGCGTACGTTGTTTACTCACAGTTTGAAAGCAGCGTGGAGAAGTCTTCAGCTGTGAACTGTAAACTGTGATCCTCTCAGGGAAAAATAGGATCCGCCCAGGTTAAACTGTGTTACGACTTCTGTGCTATCTACCAGCGATCATGTTTAATATGAAAGACTACACATACATGTATCCCTTATAAAAACATCCATCGCTGTGTGGTTTGGATCCCAACAGGACAGAAAAAGGCTATATTCCTTGTGTGTGGACACATGCCAAATAAAGCTGATACTGAATCATTACTATCATTGTTGTTGTCTTTCCTTCTGTCACACTAATGAGTAAGTCTATGTACTATACAGAAGCAAAGCTTGCATTGCATATTAGAACATGAATTTGACCACTGTTATTATAGTTGCAATATGTAAAATTAGCCCTTTGCACACCATAGAGGACGTGATGCCTATGCTGTAAAGTATTTTATTTTGATGAGTCTGTCGCAACTCGCAAGACAGAAAAGACAGCCAGTATTGCTAGAATATAAACCTTTTTTTTAAATAAAATTGCATTCTGTTTCTAGCGCAGCAGCTTTGGTCCAGGTCTACATCCTAT